GCGGTTTTCTTAATTTTTTCACATTGCAGTACCAGCAGTGCAGGTGAGCGACCGCATGGATTAGGGGTTTGGAGCACATGACTTATGAAGAGAGACTGAGGGAACTGGGATTGTTTAGTCTCCAGAAGAGAAGAATGAGGGGGGATTTGATAGCAGCCTTCAACTACCTGAAGGGGCGGTTCCAAAGAGGATGGAGCTCGGCTGTTCTCAGTGGTGGCAGATGACAGAACAAGGAGCAATGGTCTCAAGTTGCAGTGGGGGAGGTCCAGGTTGGATATTAGGAAACACTATTTCACTAGGAGGGTGGTGAAGCACTGGAATGCGTTACCTAGGGAGGTGGTGGAGTCTCCTTCCTTGGAGGTTTTTAAGGCCTGGCTTGACAAAGCCCTGGCTGATTTAGTTGGAAATTGGTCCTGCTTTGAGCAGGGGGTTGGACTAGATGACCTCTTGAGGTCCCTTCCAACCCTGATATGCTACGATTCTATACAAACAAACCTTTGCAGGTTGCCTTTAAGCCTCCCAAGAGCCAGTGAGGCTCTTTTCTGTCATCCATTTGGTTACTATTGACACTCTATTAATAATCTCTGGACAAAATCGATTTTTCCCTGCTTTTAGTACCTATATAATCAAATTGCCTCATTAGCAAAATGTAGGCATGTGCTGGCTAGATGGCTGAATAGAAAAGAGGAGGATATTAGAGTAGGTCAGTGACCACTGCATCCTGTTTCAGATTTCCCATAATCAGAGTTTAAAGTGCTATGTCTGCTTCCACCTTACTTAATAGAACAGTGTTAAGGTTCAGCTACCTTGTTCAATGTATATGTTATCGCTTCATTTGGAGCTGAGGAAGGAAGCAGGAAGAGTTTAAAAAAACAAACAAACAAACAAAAAACACAAACAAAACTTGACAGCGGGCGTGACCTGGGTACCAAGTGGCTTGCTTTCTCAGGGTGCATGTGAGAAGTTGTTTTACAGCACCGGTTTCCAAGGGGAGCAGTGAAACATTGCTGTGAGATGGCATAGAGAAAGTGGAAGGCAGAGTGTTTACTTTTATGGAGAGAGTCCCTTCCAGAGGCTGTTTGGCACACCCCTTCGATTTTAACAAACAATGATAGCCCGGCTCCAGAAAGGATGGCTCAAAACCGCCAGAAAAGTTAGCTCTAGGTTTTTAAGATGGAAGTCAATCTTAGAATCCAGTAGGTCCAACCCCCACTCAGATCTAGACAGCTTTCTCTAGGTGGGCTCTGCTCCCTGGGAGAATGGCATATTTACAAACTGTATTTAAATAGCTAACTGTATTGGCGCATAAGCTTTCCTGGGTGAATACCCATTTCGGCAGACGCAGATCCAGACTAACACGGCTACCCCTCTGATCCTTGTATTTAAATAGAATTCCTCCGGGTCCGTGTTTTTCCATCCTTCTCCTTTTCCCCCTCTTCTTTCAGTGACATTAGTCCCAGCGGCGAGGGTGTGACTGAGCCGACAAAGCGGGCACTCCCCAGGAAGTCCGGCTCAGAGAGCGTGGTGTGCCTTAGCCAGCCGCGGCCAGTCCTTCCTTCAGCTTGGGCGAGCCCCAGCGCATGGAACGTGGCTGCTGCGGGGAGAACTCGCCGGGCTCGCGTCCCTGGGGCGGTGATAACCTCCAGGGGGCGCCCTAGAGCCCCCCGCCTGCGTCTCCCGGCCCCGCGGCGCCAGGGCTCAGTCCGTGGGTTTGAATTTCATCCAGGCACCAGCCTGGAGCGGGCGAGCGAGTGGCCGGCCACGCTCGCCGGCGAGAGGGGAGCGGCCAGTTCGCGCGCAGCTGCCGGCGCGGGAGCAGCCCCGGCCTTTGAGAAACTTTCTTGGCCGGTCGGTGGCGAGCACCACAGCGGGCTGGGCAGGAGCTCGGAGCCTGGCTGGCGAGCCCCGGAGAGCCCGCCTGCAGCGCGTGGGGCGGGCGGAGGAAACACCCTCCCCAGACAGGTGGGTACTGTGCGGGGGGGGAGGGGTGGCTCTGTGTGGGGCGGACCCCCGGGCAGGGGAGAAGTACCCCCCCCCCCCCCGTCCACTCACTCCCCGGGACTTTTCCATGCGCCCCCGCGACACCCCATCCGGCCCCGCGGGCATCGCTCTCCAAGCCGCCAGGGTGCTGGGGAATTGCAGAGACCGGGCAGGGGAGGGGAGCCTGCAGATGCACTGCGCGTGGGGCCGGGAGAGTGTGTGTGTGTGTCTGTCAGAGTGTGTCTGTTTGTCTGACAGAGTGTGTGTGTGTGTCTGTGTCTGTCAGAGAGGGAGGCTGGATCCAAGAATCCTGATGCTATTTGTCCCCCAGTCCTCAAATTGTGCTATTACAATAGAGAACAAGTGCAGCCTCCCCTACTGCCCCACCGCAACGTGGATCCAGCCCCCCCCTCCCCCCCAATGCCTAGACAACAATCGAAGCTGCTACTCAGAAAATATTCTGGACTCTGGCACATCCTGGTAGGAGTGTCCCGAAAACCAAATCTGGCCCCTGGATCCTGCCAGATCCACCCAAGTTTTAGTCCTCTCCTTCTCAAGTCCAGGTCGTGAATAGAGCAGCAGAAACAGTCTAGACTAGATGCCTCCCGGTGTGTAAGTGCCTCAAAACCTCTGGCACTTGGATCCAGCTGGATTGGTATTTTTTTGGCCCCAGACTCAAACCGAGCTATAGGTCAGAGGCTGGGCTTTTCTGGTCAAGTAGTAGCGGCACCTTGTTTGTTTTAACAATACAACTTGGGAGCCTGGAGCCAAAAATGCAAACTCCAGCAGAGTCCAGGTGCTGAATGTGTCTGTGATGCTGTTGTGCAGGGACGTAGTGGGGTTTGGGATTTTGCGGTGGAAATGGAGTAGCTGCACTTCTTGTCTATTTAGCTGGTTTAAGTTTTGGGTTTGGGATAAAAAGCTTGCTGTCTCCAGAAAAACCCTGGTGCCAAACGCAATCGCTTTTCAGTGGGGCTGTCAGTTTGTAACAAGATCTGGTGAACTAGGATCTGCTGAGTTTTTTTTTTCTTCTGTATTAAGATCAGTAGAATTTGGGGGATTGGGGTTGAAAATTGGCCAGACCCAATAGGATCTAGGAGCTAGTTATGTATTTTCCCAGTTCTGTTGGGCTGAGATGCAGCCAGATCCTGATTTTTCCTGAGAAATAGGACAGCTAGATTTGTCTTCTGCTTAGACTGTACAAGGTGGGCTTGTGGACCAAAGCCTGCCAAGATCCAACTGCCAGACCCAGGATTTTGTGCAACTTAAGGCACTAGAATGGGTTCAAGTTGGGAACTGTCTGACGGGGTAGGAGCAGCTGCCCTTGTTCTCAGTTCATGCCATGGAATTTGGGGGCAGAGGGTGGAAGTTGGACAGACTCAGGAGGTTCCATGCACTGGATCTGAGGTTTTGCCGCACTCATGTGCCAGCACCAGAATCCACACTCTTGTGGTGAAGTAGGAGTACCTCGGCTTCTCTATATGGGTGTTGGAATTGGGGCCAAAATTTGGCTAGTTCCAGCAGGATCCTGGTAGATCCAGCTTTTACTTTCATCCCTCTGAGGGATACTGGTAGAGTTCGCGTGCTGGCTTCAGAGATGGCATGGGTGTTGAATCTGAATCTCTCCCTGTTCCCTTTGGGGTGTTAGTAATACAGTCAGGCATGCCCTTCCATTGACAGCCTTTGAACATTGCAGGAAAGGCAAACAACTGTCCACTCCCCCTTTTCACCTAAATCCCCAACTGCAAGACTGGGACAATTCTTTGTCATCAGAATTCCTAGATGTCCACAACTTTTGATTCCCTCCCCCCGGATTTCTCTTGAGTTTGGAGTCTAAGATCTTCATCCCCTTTGTTCCCCCAGCCCTCTCACTGCCACCCACTGCTCAAACTCTCAGCTTTTGTTCCCCCCTCATCCTCAGACTTCTAGTCCTTAATTTTGTTCCCCTCAAACCCAGCACTGCTGGTGACTCCTTGAATGTACATGCTCTTAGTCAACTGGAAACAGTGGTTTCCCCAGGAGTATCAGATACCAGTAAACGTGCAGATAGCATTTAACGCTGGTGAGTTTCAGTTGTTTAACTTTGAAATCAAGAGATGTGACTAAATAAACAATGTAACCAGAAATAAATGAGGTGGTTCATTTTTCCTTGGTGATATTTATAGTAGGCTCAATGCTGTCCAGCATTTCAACAACATCTTCAACTGCTGAAAGTAGAGAGCTCTGAGCTTTGGTACATGGAAATGTTGTTAGTGAAGCTATCACAAGAGGTGGCCAGTAACTCAGCAAGTGGGAGAGGATCATGAGTGGGGTCAGATCCAAGTTATGGTGGTTCTGAATGGACCATACTTCGTGCTTTCTGAATCATCTGACGTTATCAGCAAAAGGGCCACAGCTTCCTCTGTTCATCCCTCCTGGTCTGGTGTAAGGAAAAGAGGGTGTTTATAATGGGCATCCAAGGTGCTGGATGGTGGAGGGTGTGATTCCAAGGCACTGAGAAGCCAGGAGATGGGTGGGATTCCTTCAGCCCATCCTTTCTGTTAGGAGAAAGACCCCATCAGCAGCAGTGAAACACAGGCTGTGGCACATGCAGAGGCTGATCTCGTGCAAGATGCCTTTCAAATATCACACTATAAAGCACTATAGTTTCTCTAATGCTGGTTTTGAGCACTGTGCGGTACAAACACTGGTCTAAGCCACGAGTGCAATGCGCCTCTGTCTTATTACCAACCTAAAAACACCATGATTTTAAAGAGGCTGCTTGACAGAGTCTTTCTGGTGTGTCTGTATGTGGCACAAAGAGAAAACAGAAGGGGTTAACTTTAAAAGGTTAGCGTGAGTCATTTGGGTAAATAGTAGTTAAGGCAACTTTTATTAACTATTTAAACCAAAATTATTGTTCCAAGCAGATGGTCATCAATTAGGTAACTCTGTATTTGAGCGTATTTGTTTTCAGGCTTTTAAGTCCCAGCCTTGTGGTAATTGAAGAACTGTAGTAATTGACAAATTCAACTTCCTGTATGCAATAGAGACATGCAGTTATACAGAGGGCACAGTCCTCTCTGTTTTGCCTTTAAAATGGAAAACTACAAGATCAGAGTGTCACAGCCGCCTACAAAAAGATTAGGTAGAATGACAAGCAGGGATATGGGAAATCCTCAAATTGGATTAGATTTGTGGAAGAATTCACTTATATTTAATCTGTTAAAAAAAAAAACAGTACAAATGTGATTAAATATTCAAAGTACATGAATAATATGAAAATAAAAGAGAACCTTTCTGATGTGGCAAGTAGCTCAAACTGTAAATTAACAATCACAGTTTGTAACCCACCCCCCCAAATTTATATATAAAAAACAATGGCTACTTGCGTGCACACAGGTGTATAGAAAATAAAAACTACATATGCCAAGCAGGATGAGTTCATGGAAAGCAGGTGGGCAGTCTTTCATCCCTTTCAGTGGGATGGACTTGTAATATACATATAAATATCAAGCCCCCAATTCCAAGAAAAGATGAAGGGAACATAGCTTCCTGCTTTTGATGAAAGGCATTAGAACCCTGCAGCATAGGTACTGGGGTGCTGCAGTACCCCAGGGCTTGAAAAGTAATAACAACTGTGACAAAGTTCCTCCTCTGTCTTGGTGGGTCCTGCGCTTATTTGCGGATTTTCTTGCCTCAGAGATTCACCATGTGGGTTGTGGAACAGCCCAGAGACCTTCCCCTCTGGAAGAACCCACAGTCCAGGTCAATTGGGAGGTTAGGGGGGTTCCAGCCCAGGGCCCTGTGGATTGCAGCTGTCTATAGTGCCTCCTGTAACAGCTGCATGACAGCTACTTCCCCATGGCCTCCTCCAAACACTTCCTTATTCTCACCACAGGACCTACCTCCTGGTGTCTGATAACGCTTGTGCTCCTCAGTCCTCCAGCACTCACTCTCAGCTCCTTGCACCTCTTGCTCCCAGCTCCTCACACTTGCACCACAAACTGAAGTGAGC